GTGGTGGTGTCTGTCAGCATATGCTGCTAATATGACTTTCAACAATTCCTCAGTATATGCAGGACCAGAATGGTTAACTGAGACATCGTGGACTGTGCATAGGAAGTAGAGCTGACTGTGGTTTAGAGGAAGAAGCATCTACCTGCAGTTGCACCTCCAAAGCAAGGAACACAAGATTTTACACCCATGTATGCTGCTATGACTGAAGTTCATAGAGACTTCCTTACTTCAAACTAGCTAATGCATTAGCAAGAGTGAAACATTTAATGTGACGTATTCACTCAGCTTGCTGAGAACTGAACTCCCTGCCGCTGCAACACACTGCTAAAAGCCCCCATGCTAGCTATTTTTAAAATATGTCTACACAAGCTGCAACAATAAGCTTCAACAACATTCTCATAGAACCCCACTTGGATATTTTAAGACACAGTAAGAGACAGCAAGCTTAAAAGTATTAGTGCTCGTATTAATAAAAAGCTTGAGACAGAGAGCACAGTGATAACGCTAGCGTCGGGGGGGAACGAGAGGAGATTGAGACAACAGTAATAGGAGTTAGCACGAGGCCTGAAGAGATGCAACTACTCAAATTCCAAATTCTTCAACGCAAACTGGTCTGAATATGTCTGATGCCTTCACTTGCCACAGCTCATCAAATCCAACAGATTATTTTGAAGTAAGAATGGGCAGTTATCTTCTTAGCCCCACATGAAACAAGGGCGGATGGTGCTTAAGTTAGAGGTTGACTTTGTTTAGGCCACACCAGTCTCTATGGTTTAAGATGGCTTAAAAATAAAAAAGAATTTGTGATACCCACAGCCTCCAAAGTTGATCCTAAAAATACAAATACGAGTCACCCAGTTCTGATAGCTAATTTTGTTCTCCATCTGAGCCTTATTATTTGCTTGGAAACATACCTTCTGGTCTATTTTGAAGCAAGAATGCTACAGATCAGGTGCATGTAAAGGTAGGTTATTATTATTATTTTTAAAATACAGCACTGAATGTGAAATAAAACAGCAAAAAACCCCATTTGCACCAAACTGAGTTACTGCATTATCCCAGCCCCCCTTACTGACCCTTGCAAATCAAAGATAAATAATTATTTAGCAATTTGGAGCATTTTCTGGAGAAACGGAACTCGTGAAAGATTTATCTGCATTGATATTGAAATGGAACATGACGCAGTTGTCCTTTAAGAGATGGTCAAACTTAAGGAGTACCATGAGCAAACAGATGAGTTGGCTGGAGCAGAAAAGGCCATCTTTGGAAAAAAAAAAAAAAAATCAAAATCTTTTTGCAGAATACACACTGTTGCTAATTCTTACAACTCTAGAAGAGAGAGATGATTCACACTGGTACCATAGAAGAAAATGGTGAAAGCAGCATTTGTCAGATTTTACATTTGCTTTTATTTTTAACTGTCTTTTTTTTTTTTTTTTAAAGTGACAACCAGAATTACTCACTCCCAACACAGCTAGTTTGCTCATCCAAAAATGCATTACTACATGCCAAGCAACTTCTAACTCTATAAGCTGTTTCTTTTATGTATTTAATTTGTTCATATTATTAATGCTGGTTTAGTTGGCGTGGTTACTGGACTAGAGATTTGTTAATCTGTAATGCTTAAAAAATAAAAAAAAAACAAACCCAAAAAACTAAATTTGCTAAAGGTCTGGTAATCTTATACCTCTTGTTTCTCGGGCCGGGTCCATGAAGCCTGGAGAGAACAGATATAGAACACAACAACAACAGGAAAAAAAAGAGCAATAAATGTTTATCAAAGGTTGCTTTTAGGTATCATAGCGTATGTACCACATTGCGTTCTGTGCACATGCAGGCTCCAAGTTTTATCTCTCATGTGTGTGGGGTGATCACAATTTCCATTTCCCAATATAACCTCAATTTAGATTTGCATTCAAAATTTCATATCCTATAAATTTGTCTTAAAGTGATTAAAGAAAGGCTAATGATACCTAAAGACTGCTTTGTTTTTACGTACCGAGTGACTATTTCCCTTGTCACATCTCACCGTTTCTAGAAATCTGTTCCCAGTGTACCGGGGAAGCAATTCTGATGACCTACATCACTAAATTGCAAAGACAGTTATGGAACCGCTTTTCTAACACTGGTTTGTTAGCCACCCGCACACACCGATTAACGTTATCGCTCATATCGTTAATGCGATCATGCATTTGTACACATTTTTACATGCACACTGTGCCAGGAGTAGGAGAGGTGCACAGCATTGAAACAGTATGACCCCCCTGGACAAGAGACAGCAGGGCAGAACCTTGTCCCTCACGTTGATACTGTCCAGCTCATTATGCTTAGGGATGTGTGCACCCAATCCTTACTGGGCTTGGGACAACCGAACAACAGGCATCAATGAAACATGCACAAACCTTACCAATAAACATATATCTCCCATTCAGAGAAAGCCACCAACAGTGTGGACCATATTCACTGTGGTTCAGAAAGACCAAAGTTGCTGGGTTCCATTTTTCCCCTTTAATTTATCTTTCAAATATTTTTCTTCTGGTCTCTATTTCAATTGCAACTTGATCCATTTCAGTTCAGGAGTCAAAAATCACCTGCTAATATCACAGCCACGACGGCATTATTGAATGCGAGGCACAAGCATTGCTGACGTGTGGATGTAACAGCATACACAAGAGTGACATTACAGAAATGGAGGTGAAAGCTTAGGAAATGAGAATAAAAAAACCACAGTATTGTTTCCACAGTGCTTCTAGTGAACATTGTGAGACTGAAGTATTAACATATGGTACAGACATCTCATTTTAGAATGTCTTTGATAAAAGCAAGTTATTTGCTTGTAACTAGAGGCCTGAGGTGAAGCCACCTGAAGAGCAGCTCACCAACACCTGCACAGACGAGGACACTCCCATCAACTGATCACTTCTATGTACATATATCCTGTTGTGCCCAAGTTCCTTGAATGCTGAACAGCCAACCATAATAATTCCGCATAATCCCTTTCTGATGTACCAGTCATTCTCTATATCTGAGCAAGCCAGGCTAGCCAGGGAACTGCCTTGCTTATACCTATGGAAGTCTCCTTTCAATCCTATTCACTGAGTCTCCACAGTGTCAGCACAAAGGGATTTTTTTTTAATAAAAATATAAATAAATAAAAAGAGACTTCTTTTTATCCTTTGGTGTTCAGTACCTGTCAACCTAAAGGAAGATGAAGGAGGAAAAAAGCCTGTTCCCCCACTCCTAGAGTTTGCTGTTTCTTTGTAATGACATTTGTGGCTGTGGGGAAAAAAAGGCAGAAGCACATTCTCCATCCTGGAGAGAGTTTCATACTAACCCTCCCTCAGTAAGACAAAGAGATACACAAGCTCTACCCAGTACCATGCAGGGGATAGAGGGGGAACCAAGAGCCTCAAGCATGCTAGCATCTTCTCTTCCCTTTGGAAGCAAGTTGTTATATGGGAGCATCTTCAGTTACAAGGGAGTTCCCGGGAACTGCCAATGTAGTTTACTCCCCGGATCATTAAATCCAAAGATATTCCCACGTACATCTTATGACATACAAAGTACAACACAAATTTAAGACAGGGAATTGTATTCAAGGTATATTGTCCTCTTAAAAGAAAGAAGAATCAGGAAATTAAGTTAAATTTTGAAATGTCAGATGTGCTGCATCACATCTAGAAGCACCTTGCTGAAGGTATTGCCACGATGCTCATTTGCATCAGCAGAGTATTTGGCTCTTCTTTATTCCACTCAATTTTTTTTTTTTCTTTTAATTACTCCACTGCTAAATTTGACCTAGTGTGAGCTGTGCAAGGGAATGAGTTCCTCTCATCTTCTGGTTATTGTGCCCTACATGCTGCTGCAACACTGGCAACCTATGCTTGTGTCCTAGCAAAGGGGCAATCCTTACCATGCTAGAATTCAATCAAGTTGCTTTCAGCTAAAGATTTCTAAATTTTTAACAACTTATCTATGTGCTTTAGCTGCCAACAACATAGAGTTGACAGAGGCTACTGGTCAGTAACAGTAACCCAGAAAGCAAGTGGAAAGATGCATTGGACTGTTCTCAGGGTAGCACAACGTAGCGATGCAATTCACCTGTCAGAGGGGTGAGCAAAAAGACACCTGTTATTCAGACAAGCAGGTAACTACTAAAGGGGCCTCTCAAACTCTGATCCATTTAGAAATCAGACTTCTGCATTCTCCTGCTTTAGGAACAGGGAACCTCATGGGACAGTCTTGGTGGAAAAGGCCCAATAACACTATACAGGTTAAACTGTAATTAG